TAGTTCTATTATTTAAATTTCAAATAAAATATAATTAAGTTTAGCAATGGCGCCATAAAATTTATTGTTAATTTTTAACTGTAAAGATGAACACGTCTGCAGCATAATTTTGTGAATCTTTGTTAAGATTCTTCTGATTGCAATTACACATTAACAGCATGTAGTAGATTTCCTACATGTGGAATCATTCCTAAATATACCTCTGCCATTCATTATTGAAAATAATTTACAAAATGTTAGGACAGCTTTTATAATCTTTATTTAAGAAATATTTTTTTAAAGGTTTATAAAATTTTACAATTCGATCGATGGCGGGTATTAGGAACATATCGCGACCAAAATTGTGCTGACTCAATTCTGTAAATACACTCTGTTTTTACCAAATTCATTGAGGCATTATCAGATCAGAAAGCTGACATGCAATTTATTGATAATCTCGAATCTGCTATATTTACCATTATATGGTTAGCTATATCTTAGGATTTTTCACTATTTAAGGGGAAAAAATTTAATAGTTATATTGAAACGACCTTAATTTTGTTGAAATAGCGGAGGATCAAGGGAAATATTCCTTATTAGATACATCTGTTAGAATTACATATGTATTCTCATTTTTCAAATCGTCAAGAATTGACCTCCTGGATTTAGGTCCTAAAACATTGATTAAATATTATGGGAAAAATATTCTACTAACATCGTGTTGATAAGTATCTCTGTGAATGTTGTACTACAAGATAAGTGTTTACAATTGACGCAACTGTAGTTGCATCTGTATTATTTCTTATTTTTGGAGTACCTTATTATGTATTTAAACGTGATAATTAAATCCCTATAATGTTATACACACACATGATAGATTTCCAATTGCGGTTGTTTTGCGGGACATTCGCATAAAATATATTTTTAATTGTAAAATTAAAATCGTTTTTTTAAATAAAATTTTATCTTGTTTACATTCTTTTATATTTAAAAAAGATCGTTGGTTTTTTTTATAAATTAATTATTTTATTAAATCAAGATGTTATTTTACCCCCATACCAAGTCACAAGTTACCGTCTTTGTATTTATAAAGAAAAATTTTTAGCAATTTTTATATTTCTACCGCAATTTTCATATTTCTCCCGCATAATACCAAATTTCTCCCTCAATTTGAAAATTTTGACCTGGCAACTCTAATCATGAAACTAATATAATCTCTGTTACCATTTTACACAATGCTATATAGAATGGATCATTAAGGATAATTTATAGGCCTAACCAAATTAACAATTCTTGAAGAAGAGAATATAAACGACCAATCAAAATCATAAAACTATATGATGGCTAGAGCTTCCTCTTAGATGACATGATGGAAGCTAGATAAGTAATCGAGAAAAAAAGAATATCTTTCATTTTTAATGATATATAAACGACTTCACAGTTGACCATTATTGCTTATCTAAAATATGCTCTCAGCAGCTATCGTAATAATCTTAAATTACGTGGCCACACAAATAGATGCTGGTTAATTTGCATTCATAGCCATGACACCCTTAACTTATATTAGAATTCATTGTGTTAGATAAATTGATAAAACAAGAAAACTATTAGAAGAAATTATGCAAATATATTGAAGCCTTGAGTTATTTACATGGCAAGGCTGCCATATTAGAAATGAAACATTTTGTAATTATAAAATAAGAACCAGAGTGATATGATGAAAGCAATTAAAATTGTTTATAATATTGTCGCACCACCTCTAATTGGTATATTATATTTAAAATAATCGTAGTTTGTAATAATATCAAAAATAGAGATCTGCAAAGTTAGGTCCGGCCCGTAACAGACCCGAAGCCCATTCGGGCCGGGCTCGGGCCTAATTCTATTTAAAATAATCGGGTTCGGGCCGGGCCTAATATTTTTTAAAAAAATTCTGGTCGGGTCGAACTTTGAAAATTTTTAAATATATCTTAATTTATCAATTTTATATTGTATTTTTTATGTAAAATAAAAATATTTGATTTTATTTATTGAAACTAAACGACATATAACATATGTCTTTTATTTTGATAATTATAAAAATTAATTTTTATATTTAAATAACTAGCCGGGCTGGTAAATTTTTTTTAAAAAAATCTCGGGTTCGGGGCGGGCTTGAAAAATTAGGCCCGATGCAGATCACTAATAAAAAATATACTGGTATTATAAATTTAACTCAAAACTGCTTTTCAAAAAAAAAGATAGCTTTCCTAAAAACATATAAAAAGAGAAGGAAAAGGATTACATCCATTGTGGGATGAATAATAAGATGTAATTTTTAATAATATTTATTTATTAAAATTAAATAGATGGCGTTAAAGAATTAAATGCAAATTGTTATGGTAACATGCCAATTCCGCGAAGCGTATTATCGTGAATGCATTATCACGAATGCATTATTGCAAATATAATACAGCAAAAATATTATAGAGAATGTATTAGCGCGAATGTAATACCGCGAAAGTGTTATCGCGATATTATAGTGAATGATCGCGAATGCATTATCGCATACCGTGAAAGCATTATCGCGAAAATATTATAGCGAATGAATTATTGCGACTGTATTATGGCAAATGCATTAGCGCAAATGTATAATCAGGAATGTATTATCGCGAAAGCATAATCGGCAAAAAAAGAGAAGATATCTATTATTACATCTATTCTGGGATGAATAATAAGATGTTTCATTTTTAATAATATTTTTAAATAATGAATGCAAATTGTTACTTATATTTATTATCAGAAGTATTTATTAGTAAAATTTATTAAAATATTAACTGTAATATATTATATAACCGTCAAATACGTCTGAAGTGACATTTTAGCTAATATTTTATAATCAATTATATATATTAGAGGATTATAAACTATATGTCTACTTACTTTTTATAAAGAAATCTCTTATACTTATTTAGACCTTGAAAATATTTTTAGAAATAGGTATAATAAAATTTAAAAATAAATATAGTTAAAAAAAATAGGTGGGTTCGGTTCAGGGAAATATAATTTTTACTTTGACTTGTTCACTTTTATTTTCTTCTAATTAATAATCTTTGAGAATTAGTTGAAAATTAAAAATAAATGGCGTAAATGAATTTAATTGTTTAAAATTTATTAACACTCCAATAGAAATCTTTGAAAATAAATTTAAAAAATTTTAAAATGGCGTAAATGAATTAAGTTGTTTAAAAATTTTTAACACTTAACTTAATTAGAAATTTGTAAATATTATAAAATTTCAATTAAATTATTACTATTTGTATTTACAATTATCTTAATACATGATTTAAATAAACAATACATTGAGCCCGGTTAAACTCAGGTTCAAGTAAAATTCCTGGGTTCGGATCGGGGCTTTGAAAATTTTATAAAGAGGGTTCAGGTTCGGTTTGGGTTCAGATTTTTTCTCCAAAAACCCGGGTTCGAATCCCTGATGTTATCTATGATCCATGCTGGGCATCAAGGTATTGAACGAATGAAACAATGGGGGCGTGAGTATGTGTGGTGGCCCGGCATGAATAAAGACAAAGAAAATATTTGTAAAAGTTGTGAAATGTGTAATGCATTGGACAGCATGCCTCGTAAGGATAAGAAAAGTGATGGCCTAAAATTACGCAACCATGGGAGATGTACATTTCGACTTCTTTGATTTTAAGAATAAAATATATATACTCGTGGTGGACGCTTATTCGAAGTGGGTAGAGTATGAGGAAGTGAGAGGATTAACGGCACAAGTAGTGGTTAAACGTTGAAAAACCTGTGAACCATATTTGGAGTAGCGAAAATGTGCTGAAACTGGGATGAGACATATATTAGCCCCTCCGTACCACCCAAGCTCGAACGGTCAAGCGGAAAGAATGGAAGCGGTTATTAAGAGTTGGATGAGAAAGTCAAAATATGGCGGTGGGGAGATTTGGATAGCAGTGGCCTATTATAATAATCACCGACAGGGGGAAGAATTGTCCCAGGTGAATAAATTCTTGGTCCGTAGAACTCATATTCAGTTTCTTGAGATAAGCGACAACCAGTGGCGTAGCTACGGGGGTGGTTTTCGGGTTTGGACCCCTCCCAGAGCAAAAATTTTTTTAGATTATACGTTCAAAAGACCTAAAAGTGATTTTATATGAATTATATTTTTCTGGTTTTGATGTTTGTGGAAGGATATTATATTACTATTGAAATTATTCTGAATAGTATTATTATAAAGTCATTAAGAATAATCTACTAAATTATAATAACATATTATTGATGCATTTAAAAAATATATTTATTATATATTATCGAAGATATGATTATGATTTGTAAGATAAACCCGACCGAAGGCCGGGCAAAAGGGCCGAAGGCCCGTTAAAAGGGGTCTGGGGGGCGAAGCCCCCAACTTTTATATGTATGGACCCCCTCTAAGGAAAATTCCTAGCTACGCCACTAGCGACAACTTAAGAAGTGGATTCGGAGGATAATAAATGTGAATATGTGGTGGGTCAGACAGTCTGGGCTATAGGACAATAATTATACCGGGGGTGATGTTAAAGTGAGACGTTTGGTTTTCAATTAGTGGTGGTTTGTTATGTGTATTTATTTTTTTTTAAATCATAAAGGTTATTAATATTATTTTATTGAGTCATCGTTATAAAAATTAATAATATAATTTTATTGAGGCATTGTTGTAAAAATTAATATAATTTTATTGAGTCATCATTGTAAAAATGAATATTATTTAATTGAGGCATCATTGTAAAAATAATATTATTTTATTGAGTCATAATTATCGTAAATAATATATTTTTATTTGGTTATTAATAAATTTATATTTATTTTATTGAATCATAATTATCGTAAATAATATATTTTTATTTGGTTATTAATAAATTTATATTTATTTTAAAAAATATAAAAACCCCCAAAAAGGGAAATTATTATTAATTTTTTTTTCTTTTTGTAAAATTTATTGTTCTAATTTATTAAATTTTGTGAAAATTAGATTTTTTTTATTATTTTTGTTTATCATGATTTACATAATGATAATTTTTTAAATTGATTATAGAAAATCTTGTATCTTTCTTTTGGAAATAAAAAGGAAATTCATTAAAATAATAAAGGGGAAATTCAATAAAAAAGTAAAAAGATTTAAAATCTAAATAAGAAAGTTTGAAATTACTAAATATTAAAAATATCTAATGAAAGTATGTGGGGAGTAGATTTACATGATATGCTAGTTGAGTGTTATCGAGTAGATATTAAAGGAAAAAGGTTCACTTTTAGAATCATTTTTCATTTCATTGATATGTGTGTGGTGAATTTATATCATATGTATAGGCGGCAAACATTAAAAAAAGAATAAATTTATGTAACTTATTCAATTTAAAACATATTGTTAATGCATTGTTATCAGCAGGGAAATTTTGTAAAAGAAAATCGGTAAACCTTGAATGAAATGATAATTAAAAAAAGTTCTTCTATAATGATGCCTATATCTGATATGACAACATTGGTCATTGGCTGGATGCCTGCGAAATGAGGGAAAATGTATGTAAATGGATACTACAGAACAAAATGTGTAAAATGTAATATATATTTATGTTTTAACCAATATAGAAATTGTTTTTAGAGATTTCCATAAAAGATTTTTGTATTAAACTATGCTTAATGATGTCAATTTTCATCATCATTTTTTTTATACCTGTATATTTAAAAATAAAGAAAAAAATTTTGTACATCTATCGAGTGTATAAATGAATAATTTATAGAAAAAGAATTTTTATTTTTTAAGCATTTTCTTTTAAATAAAAGATTTGAAATAGAGTTAAATTTTCTCTAAGGCCATTGAGATCTTTTAACGGTATCATTTATTTTAGCTAATATTTTTGTCTTAATAAAAAAAATATAATATAAAGCTGGTAATATATAAATCAAATGTATTATAAGTATCACATAATGGTATCAATAGGATATCAATTTAAAAAATAAAATATAACTATCTTAGAATAAATTTGCTATAAAAAATTAATTTTCTTGGAAATAACAAAGAAGTATAATATAATTTTTATATATAATTAAAGCATATATTTAATATAATAATTTTAAAAATCACATTTAACCAATATTTTACTAGCTATGCAATATCTATTTAAGATAATCGATTATCTAAAACTGATTTAGGCAATTGCACAATTAATCCATCCATTTCTTTGGTTAAGTTTATCTGGCAACCCAATCTTGAGCTTGAAAACACATTTAAAAAACAAATAAAATGATTTTAATAATATAAAAACTATATCATTCCTAAGTCTTAATTATTGTCATGACCAAATATATAATGTTAAAAATTATGGATTACACAAAATGATATAAGTTATTTGTATATTTAAAAATTAATTTCAAAAACAATGTATCAGAATGAAAATACGTTTCTGTTAATTCATAAGCTAAATCTAACATGTCTAGTTCTTCTGGTGTCGATTTTTGTGGCAGATTATTAAAATCCTTTTGTGTAAATATAAGATGACATGTTGAGCAAGATAGGGTTCCTTCGCAAGCACCTTATTAAGTTAAAATAAGTCTTATGATAATTAAATAAAAACCAAATCCATCAAAATCCAGATTATTATTTAAGACAACATCTAATAGAGTATCACCTTCTTTTGCCTTGCCTGAAACTTTGTTTCCATTAGGCAAAATAAAGTGTATTGTTAATCTGTTTAAAATTATTTCTTCAAAATAAAAAATATAATTACTCGGCTGTGAATTGAATTTGTGTAGATATTATTGTTCGATTAAAAACTAAGCGTTGATGTTGTAAAAATTTATAATCAAAAAGTTTTACATTTGTGAAAAACCGAAATATCAGGCGAGAAATTTTCATTCCATAAATGAAAGAAAAAAATAACATTAAAGACAGACGTTCCAAGTCAGGCATTAAAAATATTATTAAATAGGAAATCAAAATATTTTAACTGTCGAAATTATGGTCATCCAACCAAATATCAACTAATTTAAAAATAAGACTCTTCAAGTCCCTAATTGTACCCATTTTTACCTACGGCCTGGAGACTTGGCAGGACTCAAAAAAAGAATCACCAAAACGTATTACCCATACAACACATCAAATACGCGACATCCTACCAATCAATCGTCTCATACCCTTGAGGAGACTATAATTACTAGGCCATAGCTTAAGACACTCAATATGATATTCTCGTCCTTGAAATGGTGCCCTGACGGTAGGTAGAAAACTCCTAAATACTATTGGTTGGCGAAATGTTTGAAAGATATGGACCTGATTAACCTCTCGTTTGCAGATTTCATGGCACTCAGCAAAAACAAGAAACACCTAAAAGAACATTTACAATACATGTTAAAATATGGCCTAAATTAATATTGAAACCGTTCTTCTCCTTTACTTTCTTGCAATAAATAGAATTATGTAATGTCTGATAATGATAATAACCTGAACAACAACAACATAACTTAACTTCCTTTATTAACCCACGACCTTTCTTTTCTGGACACACGATATCGGCGACGATAACGATAACAATTACGAGACTATTAGTTGTATAATGGACAATGAGAAGGTACACTGGTTATAATAATAACGCAATAACTCGGACGAACCCAAATATCATTGGCACAGCACATACAAGATCTACAGGACATACGATATTTGGCACACCGAACAACAAACAAGGAAGAGACTCTTCATGCAAACCTAACATAAACTCTCAATACTTACCAAGATATAAGGGTTATTATTTTTTGTTGCCTCACTAAATACCACTTAAGGATGCAGGTACATTATTATATGACATTATTTTTTTTTCCTTAACACTATTCTGCCGGTAACGGAACTAATACATCACCATTATTGTACTTCTTCCTTCTTCACTTTGCTAACTGGCTACATAGTGGTACCGTCCACTATAATAAAACGGGTAGACATCATGTATGGGATCTATATACTAGTGAAAATACATTATGCACGCTTCAACTCCTGGTGGGTGATGAAATTGCACTTCGTGCAATTTCTGGCGTGGTAATGAATGAATGAAAAAGCTCATTTGAGAATCATCTTTGCAGTCATTTATCTTTAATATTTATCTTTCAAGTTAATATTTAAATTCACTAATAGAAATCAATTTATATATATTTACATTTACAATATGTATAATAAATAATTATTCTTTTATATACCGCCTTTATAAAATTTATTTATCTTCACAAACTAATAAATTTATTTGTTTAATATTAAATAAAGGATATTTTTTTAAATTTCTTTCTGCTTACTTTAAGATTAGATTTTTCTATAAATATCTCTACTAATTAGAATTTTTTATTCTTCTAGATTCAGCTGGGTTTTCATTTGCTATTAGAGACTCAGACTTTTTTGTATATAAGTTTCCACTAATCTCTTCTAAGGATGTAATATAGTTCAACACCCCCCTAAGTTTCCCCAATTTTTATTTAAAGCTTTTAATCAGATAATAAGGATTTTTATCATATTTAAAAAAAATATTTTTCCTCTTTGTTTATAATCATCATTATTTTTTATATGTACGTTCATCTTCGATAATATTATAATAGCTCAACTCTAGTAATATACTTGGGAAAGATATTTTTTTAATATTTACTGAAATAAGATAAGGAGTAGGATTAAAGATTAAAGGGATATAGGATATGGTAGGTCAACTTTATCTTCTAATTTTAATCCAACTAATAATGATTTAAATTTCTGAATGATTATGAAATATATTGATAATCCCAACAGCCATTTTTAAGTTAAATTTTCCATTTTCCATAATGCCATTTGGAAGAAATTATTTCAATCTTTAAAAACAGCATTTAAAATTCTCACAAGATATTTACTCAGTAAAAATTTGTTAAACAGTAAATATAAAAGAATTAAAATATAGTCATGAAGGCTAAGATAAAAATAGAAATTTGACCCTTATTAATGATGGGCAGAAAATATAAGAGTGGAATGTATTACAAATTTTATTACAGTAATCTCTGATCCTATTTTCTATAATTGAAAAAGGGACCAATATGCATAAGGGAGAATATTAATATCAAGTGAATTTATTAAAAAAATCGAAATATTTAATTATCGAATGCATTAGGTCTGCGTCTAATGGACCTGATTTGCTTTTAAAGGAACGAGCAAATAAAATATTGCATATTTAAATTTTAGTAGCAATAGACCATAGTATTATAAAATATGTAAAAATCAACATTTTTCACCCATTTTAAAAACAACTACAAGATAAAAATAAGATTATTTTATTAAAGTTGCCTTACCATAGTCTTGTTAAAAGACTCAATTTGGGTAAATTTTTCAAAACGGCTCGATTAAGATCTTAGCTAAAATAATATTTTGTAAGCATCGAGATTTGTCAAATAGATTTCCAAGTATTTCTGCCAGCTATAAGCAAAATGTTTCGTTTTATTTTTATGAATTAGAAATCGAATATCTTAAATCTTTTTTTCTATTTTAATAAAAATTTATTTTTAATATTCAATTATATATATTAAAATTTTAAAAATTCCCATTAATATATAATATAAATTGAAATGACCATAATAAAATAAAATGATACAAGTACCCTTTATTGCCATTTAACTTTATTATTAGGACTTCACTCAATACTTTTATGTGATTTATTTTAAATTGCGAAATACAATAAATAAAATAACAAACATCAATAAAAATCTTACAGATAAAATAATTTTTAGATTTTTTATTATTCATAAAATTTCCTAGGGCATTTAACACATTTGTTGGCAGATATCACATGGAATAACCCTTATCCATTTTAAATAAAAGGTTACCTATTGTATGAGTCTCTACCGCCTTTATAGACATATTTTCCAGATCAAATCCCATGAAAATTGGCTTTCATAGGTTTAAAACACTAAACGAGATAAATATTATTTCCTAAGCAACATTATATAATCCCTCTAATCAGCTCCATATTAGTTTATTTCGGGCAGGTGACAATCTATTTTTTAATTCTAGGGAAAATCGCTAACTGGAGATCTAGAGAAATATTTTTACTTATTTTTTTTATAATTTTAAATTATAGTAGTGTTTTATTTTTAAATTATCTAAAACATAGCTGCAAGCCCTTCCAGAGGCTTAAAATTTTACAAATTTTAAATCCGGGCAAGGCAGCTTGCGATTTTATGTTCCTATATATTATTTTTAAATGTTACTACATGTGATTAGTTATAAAATGACATCTATAGTTAGCAGGAGCGTCGCTAGCCTTTACAATCTCAGGGGGCTAAACTAAAAAAAAATTATGAGGGTCTTCACCCCCCCCCATACTCCCCAATTTGCGGGCCTTCGGCCGGGTTTTATATTAATATATTTTACTTTTTTAAAATTTGTTAACTTTTGTCATTTATTATATTATGCATACAAAATAAACTGCATATAAATAATTAAAACAACACAAGACATTTCTAAAAATAATATTTTTTAATACAAGATCTATTTATTACAGTATAAAATATTTTCGATTGCTGATATAAAAAAATTTGCGTCTAAAGAATTACAAGTGATAAAAAAGATTAATTAATTCATACATATGCCTCAATTGATAATGGTTTTTAAAAACTTTAACGAAGGTAGAACCATTATTTACATTTATTTATTTCTATAATTCATTTACAATAAGTATCAGTTTTCATTGACATTTTATTCAGTATAATTTAACCATAAGGTGCAACTTAATTACAAATGGCGATATATAATTATACGTTAATGGATGGGTGTGTACATAATATATTAGGAAGTTAAACAACAAATATATATATATAATCATATCTAACTGGCAAATATAATATATAATATGATAAAATATTACAATAGATTACATCTTTACTACATTTCCCTCTACGTTAATTGAGAGATGTCGATATCTCTTCAATCATTCGTTTCGGGAGCTTATGTGTCTGCTTTCGCCTTGGGGTCTCACACTCTCTCTGATAGCTGTCAGCGATCACGCACTCAGTCGTATCTGATATCAAACGGTCCCTTAGCTGGTCAGCATGTTTTTGTATTACACGATCTGGGGTTTTGACTACGTAGGAATATAATCCCTTTCTATCCTGAATCACCCCTTCTCTCCAACCCTTAGTGGTTTCATTCCTTACACACACATGCTGACCAACGTCAAATTCCCTAAAATTGGAATGTGTATCACGTTCTTGATTTTGTTTATCATTGGCTTTATCAATCTCCTTTCCTACCTCTGGTCTTGCCCAGTCTAGATTAGTTCTTATTTGACGACAGAACATAATCTTCGCTGGTGACCTACCCGTCGAACTATGTTCTTCCAGCCTATATGCTGCTACCGTTTGAGTCATCGCCTCTTGCGGGTCATTAATTGATTCTTGACTGGCATAATATTTCCCTTTTAAGGTTCGAATGGTTCGTTCCGCCTGCCCATTTTTCTTTGGGTGGTACGGCGTTGAGCGAATATGGCAAATGTTGTTTTCTTCACAAAATCCCTTAAATTCTATTGAAATAAATTGAGGTCCATTATCCTTTATAATGCTTTTAGGTACCCCAAAGGTAGCAAACCACTTCTTTAATCTCGTTATCATCTCCTTCCTAATTAATCTTATGAAGTCTAATCTACTACCGAAAATGGTTTTATTCTTCTCAAAAATATGTAGCGAGACACTCCTTATCTTATCAAATTTAGTCGTTAGAATGGTTTCAGGAAATAAATATTGTTCGAGAATGTCAATGCTCTCAGCGCCAAAACTCACCATGAACAGGTCCTTATTTTCTTGATCGGTCGGTGTCCAGTTCTTTAGTCTTAATGTTGTGTCCCAAAATTGGAACCAACGTTGTATAGACCCATTAATTTGATATTTTTCTAAC